AATCACTCTGGAGCATAGCTGTACTTATTTCGTTGTTACAGATTAGGGGGTTGGGACTGCAGTTCACACAGTCAGTAGACGGAATGGTCAGGACTCGAGGATGCCTCTGCTGTTGCCCCCTGCCTCCCCAGAGGTTGCCAGAAACCCTGTGTAGACTAAGATGGGGAGGTAACCAGAGTGCGCATGCGGCAGCAGCATGCCCCATACAGTTATCAAGTCAAACTGAGGACACCCGCGTTCTCAGCTGTCCCCCTCTCTTTAAAGCCACCAGCTTCCTCTTTCAGGGGAATCTTTCTCAGAGACAGGTGGCTTTCCTTGTACTCTTCTATTCATTTGCGTATCCATTCTTTCATGTAATGTGTATTTAAGAGATAACTATGTACCTGCCCTTGTTCTACTGCATAGCATGAAACCATTAAAAATCCCTGTTATCTGGAGTTTATATTTTCGCCAAGAAGATGGACAATAAAAAAATAAAATAAAATATATAGATGATCTATCTAGTATATTACAAGGTGGTAAGCACTAAGGGACATTGAGAATACGGCAGGATAGGGAGGAGGGGTAGGTTGTTAGGGGACAGTTATTAAATGGTCGGGTCAGAGTCAGGCTTCCAGAGAAATTGAAAATTTAACAACAGCCTGAAGTCAGAGTGTTCCAGGCAACAGTAACAGCTAGAGCAAATGCCTTCAGATGGAAGTGTGTCTGGTGTGTTCTAGAAATGTCAAGGCCGTCCGTGTGTCTAGAATGGATTGAAGGAGTGAAATATGAGCACATGAAGGGGGAAAATGGCCCTATAAAGTAAGCAGACTACCCCTGTTTTAGCAGAGTGTGTGTGAGGAAGCCAGTGCCTCCAAACTGATGATTTGGATTTGGGCTTATTGCTCGGTGGGACTAGCCCACGTGTGTCTTCATAGAGCTGCTGCTGCTGCTAAGTCACTTCAGTCGTGTCTGACTCTGTGCGACCCCGTAGACGGCAGCCCACCAGGCTCCTCCGTCCCTGGGATTCTCCAGGCAAGAACACTGGAGTGGGTTGCCATTTCCCCTTCATAGAGCAGCCCTTCAAAAATCAATACCATCAGCTAAGCTTAGAGTATTGCTTCAGCCAGGTTCAACCACACTTACTCTTAAGAACTCATGGATCATTATTCTATAGTGTTTCTGGTCAATCCATTTTTTTTACATTTATGTTGGCTGCAGTTAATAGCAGCTGGTTTTACAATGCATGGTATGCACTTAGGAGATGCTTGTTGAATGAATGGATGTGTGAGTGAGTGAATGAATGAATAAAGGAATGGATGGATGGATAGACAGGACCAGATTCTATTTTATAACACAGATGGATACTTCTGCCTGTAAATAACCTTGTCTTCTGGATATAGACATAAGCTATACATTTAACTTATCATGTTAAATAGAATGGTTGAATGTTGAGCAAATATTGATTATTTTTAAATATAGCCATGTTCCATCTATGTAAGAGAAATTAGGGGAAGTGTTTAGTTCTGTACCTTTAGAGCAGTTCTCTAGCTCTTACTAAAATTACTTTACTTCATCTTAAGCAAAATCACCAGTTAAGAAGTACTTAAGTCTAATCTTAGAGGGAAAAAGTTATTTCCCTTTTAGCTGGTATATTTATGTCTACAGTATCCATAGTGACTTCATTGTCTTGGTAAAATCTTCAACTTCAAATGTCAACTACATAGTTATTCCCTTTGTTGGACTTAAACTTGTTTGCAGTGGTAATTTGTTTTCTTAGCTCTTCCGTATCTCAGACCGGCTGTGGCATTTACTGTTGGCATAGTAGATGTGAGTCAGAGTCCCTGGGTTTTCTTTAACCTTTTGTCCACAGTTTGGAATGACTTTTGTACTATTGTAAATGCAGTAGATTGATCCTAGCAGGTGGCTATGAAGCTTTTGTAAATATTGATATGTTTTTTAAACTTCCCTATAATCATATATAAATATGAAGTAACAGTTTTGGAAAATATGACCTGATGTGTATTTTCAATTTCATAGAAAATGTCAGTTGGGGACATTTTACTTACTCTTTGTCATCTTTCACTTGATATACAAAATCTTTAACTATGAGGCAAAAAAACACATTTATAGATCTATACAATGTCAAAACATCAATAAAGAATAGTCACCTCTCTAGTAGGAAATTAAATAACACTTACCTTAAGTGCCCATCAATTTAAATCCATTTTTCTTTTATTGTTAACTATTATAGTTAATTTAATAAAAAAACAATTTCACTTGAACTATGATTCCAGAGGTGTTACTTTATAATTTACCATGCCATTATTTTTCCATTAACTAATTATTTATGCTATCCTAAGAGCAGCATATAGCCCTACTCAATATTTATTCAATACAAGGATAGTGAAATGGAGTATTTTTTATTGTTTATAAAGTGCCAAAATTTTTTAAGATTATTTCCTCATAAAACAAGTGTGTGATTTGTTTAAAACTGGAGGAGGGGCAGTAATTGCTTAAGACAAATAAGTTACAGAAATTTTCTGTCTTTAGTAACAAAAATTTTTATTTATATCTTCCTTTCTGAGTAATTGCATGTTAATGATAATAATTTTCAAATACAATGAAAGTATATGCTACAAGTATTGTACTGAATATGTATTCAACCATATTCTGAGAAGGTTTTTGTTCTTATACTTTTAAAGAGTTCATCAGTTATTCTTTTAAGATGGCCTCATACAAGGATATACAATGGAAAAAAGACAACCTCTTTAACAAGTGGTGCTGGGAAAACTAGTCAACTACCTGTAAAAGAATGAAACTAGAACACTTTCTAACACCATACACAAAAATAAACTCAAAATGGATTAAAGATCTAAATGTAAGACCAGAAACTAT